TTTAGCATGGCAATCTATTGAATCTAGTATATACTCTCTGTATAGATATTAATAAGTTTAGCTTAGTCAGATACAAGGACAAAATGAAGGTTGGAAGATTGTGTTGGGCTGGTTCACCTTAAAAACTAGCAATCAAAACTGTTTCATATACAAGTTTGAACCCTGGTACCACTGTCTCAGACTACACAACCTGTTGAGAGCTGACTTAATCTTCAGCAGATATCAAAAATGTCCAATATCAATTTTTATTCTGTAAGAAGGTCTGCTAAATTGTTCAGAAACAACTCCAACAACATAATTAGTGGGCAAACAAAACGACCATCTATAAAACTTGTCTTAATCTTGGTGTGTATGCATTAGAATGCCCTGGGTCTTACGGGGTCATTTTAGTCACATGATTCTATAATATATTCCACTACACTCGCATGTGAATCCATGATCATTTCAATTGACAGACAGTTAATAAAAATGCTTTTCTCAATTTCTGACTTGCTTCCTTAATGGTTAAAAGTATTTTGAACATTACATGCAATATTGAAAATTTCCTTTACAAGTTGTCACCCAAAAGCAAACAACGTATTTGACAGCAGGAGAAACTCAGCAAAATGTTTATCAGATGTTTGTTATCTGTTCTATTTAATAAAACATGTTTAAACAAAAATATGCTGCCTAAATATACTGTTGTTGGAGGTTTTTTCTTTGGACTCTGAGTTTGGATTTTGGTCGATTGTTTTTGCCTGAATTACATGTTCTTAGTTCTTTCTTTTTTTATTCTTTATTTTTCCTTGGGTATTGTTTTGTTCATTTACAAGCCAAAACATCTAAGGTTTTTCCAGACGAGTATACTTACTTATATTTATAAGATTATTATATATATATATCTATATATCTATATCTATATCTATATCTATATATATATATATATATATATATATATATATATATACACACACACACACACACACACATATATATATATATATATATATATATATACATACATACATAAAAACATACAAAAAGAAACATACAAGTATATATCTACAAATATGCATACTATTTGGAATTACCCTTTTTTTTCCCTAAAAATTTATGAAAATGTAATACCATCTGTGAGACATTTGTGACTTTACCAATGTTTTGGGTACTGAAAACTTTCTATATTCATATTTGCACACATATATTTATATGTATTTGTGCGTGCAGATGTATGTCTAAACCAACTGTTATATCTGCCTAGTCTTATTTAATTTCATATAAACACAATTTAAACATCCTTTTCCTCAGGTTGAGAAAACATGAACCCAAAGCCAAATCAAAAGTCTCTGATATTTGGGGAGGGGTACAGAGAAACCTGGTCTTTTGCCCTCAAATCCCTGACAAACAGGAAGTTATGACTGAAAGATTTTTATTTACTATTAATTTCAACCAATACCTTCAAAAATCAAATTTACATTATTTTTTACATCTACTGTTCACTTTGAGGCAGGTTTTTCATTTTACAAAACAATGACTGCAAAGGGAATAAAAATCAGAATAATTTTATATTCATTTTTATAAACAAATTTACATTACAAAAAATTAATACAGAATTTATTATTTTATTCTGAATTTATAATTTTTTAATTCCTCCCTGTTTGTGACTGATTTTGATAACTATAACATAATATTATCCATGATTATAATTCACAACTTCTTTTATCTATGAGTTTGAACATCAAACATCACAAAATATACTTATTAAGTGAAGAGTTGTTCACTTGAATTGAAAATGAATTTAATTAAAAAATCTGTATAATAGAAAATTAAACATTTGTATAAAAAGATTTTCAATTTGTTTATTTATCTTTCTAACAAATAAGTAAATAAATTGAATAACATTTAATAATGATTTTTAATTCAGTATATGTCCTTTAAACAAATGTTTATTATAATAATAATTTTTATTATTATTGTTGTTGCTGCTGACTGATTTTCATGACTATGTTTGATAACATTATCCATGATTATAATAAACTTCTTCCTCTGTATTTCCTGTTTTAATAGTATTTTGCAATTTGACTTGAAATTTGTATTGAAATTTCAAAGAATTTAAATATGAGGAAAACTTTTAAACAACCCATCTTTACAATATAGATGATTGGACATCGACCATTATATAAACAAAATATCAATTATTAAAGATTTTATGATCTGAAGTTTTGGTCAGCCTTGTAATAAACACAAGATAGGCATAAAACTTATGTCTAACAAATAAAATCTTTTTTTATATATAAACACAAAAAAGACTTGAAAAAACAACAGAACAAAAAATATATCAGGAAAATTCCAACAAAAAAGATTCAAATAAAATTTTAAAAATTATCAGCACCTTCTGTCAACAATTGCCTCAAACCTTTTCTCTCTTTTTTCTTCATTGTTGTTGCTACCCTTTGAGCAACGACCCAACACTTTCAACATTAAAGCACGTGACCATTTTGGAATGGACACCCATTAAAATTGGTTTGAGGGTTGGCATTTGCTGCCAGTCAAAGGTCATGTGAGAGACAATCTGTGGGCATCGAGTTGGGAAGACGTACTTTCTGTCTCTCCCTCTCCACCATACAGCTCAAACACCTAGACTTTGGTAATAAACCTTTTGTAGTCAACTTCTTTGCCCGAAGCTACCTTTCATCATCCTTGACTCGATCCTAGCCCAACTTTCCGACTTTCCTACATAATATGAGATTCTCTTCCAAAAAAGGAAAAGCAAAAAGCATTGATCACAAACTCTTCCAGAATCTCCACCTGTCAACTATAAGCAACAGCGAAAGTCAAATTACAATCCATTCTCTACCATTGCTAACCTTGTCAAGAACCATTGATATCCTAAAGGTGTATCAACTACACTTGTACGTGGGAGTCTGATGGTCTGACACAAGGCCATACAAAAAAGAAACTGCACTAGACGACCAGGCTTCCACTACAAAATAAACACTAACATGATATCAAACAGACATTGACACTATTTTTGTCTGAAATAAAGAACCGCCATTATTATCCACTAGTTTGATTTCCATAAAAAATGTTCAATACAGGCAAACCACACTTTACACAATTTGTCCATATTTTTATTCACATACAATAAATGTGCTTTAAGTGATTAACAGAAACAATGTGAATAATTGCAATGAATCTTCATCTTTTCAGATCATCCATGAAGATTTATATTAAAAAATGTTTTTAAAAACAACTTTTACCTGAATATGAAAACTGTTAAGGTTAAAAATATTTATATTTCATTATCTATTTTATAATTAAAACATAATTAAATTATTTCTTACAAGTATCTTAAATATTTTTAAATTTATTAAAATATATAAGAAATATATATAATAATGTATCAGAATATATGTAAAAATGTATAAAAAGTATATATAAATGTTCTGTCTTCCTGAATCTAGTTCTTTCATTGTCCTTTTCCTCACTTCTCCTCACTAAAGTTTTCTTATTCTTTTCCTGTAACCCTGTACATTCTTGGGGTGAAATGATTAAAAAAAAATTACATAAAAAGAAAAAATATCTAAATGTTTTCACTATTTACATTATTCGGACTATTGTCCTCATCTTTGTTGCCATATTTATTACAATGTTTCGGCTGTTGTATGCTCTAGCCTTCTTCAGGTGGTTGGAATGTCGAACTGAACCCTTTATTTCGCTCACTGGGGTAGAATGTTCACATGCCATGTCTAACGGATGTCGGTTATCAGTTATTGCCTGCTTAATTCCCTCTCCAAGTTCTCCACTGCCTTAACCAGGTATTGAACTCGCACTCTTTGGGTCCTGTAACTGGATCTAACTAATGCCTTTATCCACTGTGCCATGTGTCCTTGAAGAAACATTGTAATAAATATGGCAACAAGGATGAGGACAATAGTCCAAATAATGTAAATAGTGTACATACCTCATCTCAGAAATATAGAGAGATACTAAATATTTTCAGTTTATAAAAAAAGTTTTTAAAAATAATTTTTAGCTGAATATAATGACCAAACTGTTAAGGTTAAAAATAATTATAACTTTTTAAAATTTATTTTAGAATTACATCATAATTAAATTATTTCTTAGAAAAGTATCTGCCAAAAGCTGAATGCATAGATTTTTATTTTTTCTCATAGAATTTCTTAGCAACTAATTTCATTTTTTTTTCAAATTTCTGTGGTTTCCAATGCCTCTTGCGATGTTAGATAAAATAAATAAATGAAAACCTTTAGTATCTTCAACAAATTTAACTCTTTATTTTACAATGATTTCTTTAGCTGGATTTTTAATTGTCACACTCACTTTGTTTCTTCAAATGCATGTTGTTCATTGAGTTGAAGATTTTCATTTGATTCTTCTGCATGCAAATCAAACAGTTCTTGCACATTTTCTGTATCCATGTCAAAACCTATGTTAATTCTAATAGGCAGAAGACAAGAAAATCTTTTGTGTAATAGGGTAAATATATATTTCCAATCTGTTCACACATTGCCATAAATGTGTAATCTTTTTAATGGAGAGGACAAATGAAAGATCTTTATCTATGTGTGTGTCTGTGTGTGTGATCTTGCAATAAGTTTTCCAGAAAGATCTTGCAATAACTGAATAATTAGATGAATAAAACAAGTAATTGTTGCAATTGAATTTTGCATTGATTTTGCATGCAAGTGATTTTCTCATTGACTGAAGATGGGGTTTGCCTGTAAATGTTTTTAATGAAGGACACATCTTTCAATGTCTATGATTAATAGTCAAAATACAGATATACACAACTATCATAGAATTATACACAAATATTGCAACCTAATATAAGGCTTCAACAGATAACTTTATAATAAATAATCCCAAATGCTTAAAGACATTTTAATTTTAATTAAATAATCCCAAATGCTTAAAGACATTTCTCTTAGGATACCAAGATCATCTGATGTCAGTCACATGACCTAGATAATGGAAGCAGAGCAAGTATGCATACTTACTTCTCTTTTCTTGGGTAGAATTTTCTCAGGTAAATCCAAATACCAATGGCAACTGCCACAACCACAATAGAAATCAGTACATAAAAAAAAATGCTGATGGCAGATGGAAATATTATGACTTCTGCAAAGAGAGAGAGTATATAAATATAACATCTCCATTATTATTATTATTATTATTAGGCTGTCAAAATAATGACATGCAATAATGGAGTAACTTGTTATTATAGAGAGTAAAAACATATATCTCAAATATGTGTACATAAGTAAATCTAATAGCTTAATGATGAAAAAAGTATTTATTTTATAAAACAAACATTTCTCAAAATCTTTCTGTTATATTCCATACTAATAGGAATACATACTTGAAAAACATGGTGGATAAAATAAATAAAGGTTTATTGTAAAAACTAGTACAATAAGAATAAAGGTAACAGTTATGCACAAGGTCATCGCAAGTCAATCCAGTAATGAGTGCTACTATTGGAAGGTCGGTAGTTCTTGCATAAGTCTGAGTCATACTCAACAGATCCCAGTTAGTCTGTAATCCGTTGACTTACAGATACTTATAGGTAGTTACTACCTATAGTGTAGTTACTCATGGGGGTGACAGGTTATTCCATTACATCACTTTCTTTATCAATGCACTTATTTCAAAGGAAAATATCATTCACATATATCAAGTGTTATATAGTGAAAATTTCAATTAAAAATTCAGCTATTAACAACATTTCAGGTTAATTATTTATTGATCCACTCTGGTCTCTGTATGTGGCTAATAGATGGGAGGACTTTATTTCTTTTCGGAAATTTTCTGATCCTTTGATCTTATTAAGACCATCACATTTATTAATTTCATAGTGTTTTTTACCATTTAAATGATTTTCCAGCTTCCTCCCTTGTTTATTGCATAATGAGAAAATGCTTCTATTAGGCACCTTACTGTATTTATGTGTGAGAAAATGTGTACTTAAGCATTAGTTTTTCATTAATACAAATTTGATTAAAGATAATAGATAAGGTATATTTTTATTTTAGTTTTCAGTTGCCTTTTCCAGTGAAGCTAAATATAGTTCAAACATTTGTGATATAGAACTTTCTGACCATTATGTGGATATTAAGAGCCTGGGAGTGTTGAGGCAAAAGGAGAAGAGCAGTAAGAGAGTAATTAGAAAAAAAAAGGGCAGTAGTGTTCGGGGGTGGAAGCAAGAATGCAAAGTACTCAAGAGGTACATAAAAGAAGTATTTTAGGTTCCATCTAACACAGAGCACTTTGTGTTCAGGTCATCAATTAGAAACTGATGACCTAAGAGTAAAACACTTGATGAAAATAGAAATAAAATTGTCTACACATAAAAATCAACATTCATTACATCAAAATTTCATAATATTTAAAAGATGTACAATATAAATAATATAAATAAGCTGTGTACATACATTTATATGTATGTATGTGTGTGTGTATCTATATTTGAGTTGTTACCATGACATACTGCAGGCCTTCTCATGGCACAACTAAGAGCCAGAACTGGAGGCCTATTGAAAAACGTTTGATTTTCAGAAATTTTGGAAGAAAATTATGTTAATTTGAAAGTACTTAGAATTAGATTTTGATCCATACCTGAGGAAAATATGATGTTTTGAAAATTAGATAAATAAAAATATGTATTTTTTCTGTGGATACTGATAAGTATTAAATAAAAGAAAGAGGTAGTTAAGATTTCTGGTAAAAGACATGATCCACATAATATTGAAACAGAAACATTCACACTATTTACAGGTTGCACCAAACCCTTTATTCAATCTACCCACAGAAATTGAATAAAGAGCCCGGTTCAAATTTCCATTAAAGTTACCAGGTTCAACATTCAATTGAATTGGTATATTTTCTATACTTTTTATAATAAATTTTTTTTCATATTCACTGGGTTGATTATTATTTCTTGTAATATATCCAGCTATGGTCCATTGCAAGCATGGTGTATGGTAGTAGCAGTGTGCTTGGATAATTGTTTTATATGACTACCTTGACTGCCATTTGTTCAAACTCAACAATAAAATCAAGTTGGCTGTCATTTGGAGATCTGATTTCAGCTTATAGTTTATTAATTTGAAGGATTTTAACATTTAAAATTTTCCACCATGTCAAAAACTTGATTATGGAGATAACAGTATCATTATTATCCACACTTCTTTCAGACTGAGTGAAAAGGGCATTATATGTTTTTTTCTGAAAACACTTTGGGTCAAGTAGAAAGTTGTTGCCTTTCTATGGGCTTTTGAGCAATGAAAATTTCATTTAAATCTTAAAGTTTAACTAGTTTTTCAGATTCAAAATGATTAACTGTTTAAGATGTGCCCATTTTGCAACTTCTTTTATGCCATTATCATCAAAAATTAGTTCTCCTGTCTTTTCTGTGAGCCACGAATTGAGAATATTTTTCAACAGATGAACATAATCAAAACGCAAATGTTTATTATCTTCCATTAACCAAGGTTTTTCAGAGTGTCGGATATAATTTAAAAAAGCTTGATTTATTCAGTTGCCATCACATATAATGGCCTTTATATCAGCTGATACAGCTTGAACTGTTTACTTAATTTATTCAAATAAAAAGGCTGATGTTAATTTTAAAATTGGAATCAATCTTGTAAGAAATTTTGGGCCCCATTAAGACATATCAACATTATACCAAGTACTGTTTGAGCAAGTAGAGATGGATTGTCAACTGACTTACCAAATAGTTTGCCATGATATAGTAATATTTTCTTGATACATACTTCATCATGGAGAATTATGCACCCTTTTTGACTGGCATTAAGAGTATTAAATACAGATAGCAAAAAAGATTTTGAAACTTTTGATGTCATCCTTCTTAATGTTGCTAATTGAAAATTCTGTTATACAGTGACCATGATGTTGCATAGTACTCAAAAGCACATATTACTATATCTGAGCTGTATTTCATTCCAACCATTTTGGGAGCCATTGCTGAAAAGTGCTGATGCAAGATATCCTTCTTGTAATCAAAAGCTATAGAATTTAAGTACCAGATAATTTCTTCCAATATTGACCAAGCATCAACTGTATTTATACAGTTTTTGGACAGGCTGCTAATATAACACTTAACTCCATAATGAAACTGCAAATTTTTATAAATTCTCAACATAAAGAGAGGGATAACTTTCAACGACTGAACAGTGAAAATATTTTCAGCCCAAAATGCAACATCTGGACATCTTTTTTTGTTGTTGATTAGACTTTCTTACAAATTTATTTATTCTGGCACTTGTCAACATAAGATCAGCTATTGCCTGGCTCTCTCCAAGAGTGCTACTCCACCAGGTGACAATATCAAAAACAAATACTAAATTAAATATTTTTCAGTATATTACAATATCAAAAACAAATACGAAATTAAATATTTTTCAGTATATTACAATATCAAAAACAAATACTAAATTAAATATTTTTCAGTATATTACAATATCAAAAACAAATACTAAATTAAATATTTTTCAGTATATTACAATATTAAAAATAAATACTGAATTAAATATTTTTCTTGCCAGAATTTATTTTACATATTTATAAGTTATAAATATGCAAAATAAATTCTGGCAGGAAAAATTGTCTAGCACAATATAGTGAATCAATTTTCCTGGCAACAAACCTAGCAATTAATTTTATAGTGTACCAACCATGGTGTTCTATATTAGACACCCAATTCATAATTTAGTGATGGGACAGACCTGGATGCGCGCAATGGACATTTTAGTTTCAGTTTGAGTTTGAGTGGGCTAGCTATTCCACCAGTATTGTTGGCTTAAGTAATTCAAAGAAAAAATTTCCTTGCATTTGGAATATCATTTATACTATTTAATTGAAGTAAGTAAGTATTTATTATGAGTTTCTATATTATTTTTTATCAGTAAATTGCGTTCTTATTTTAGTTTCCAGTTTAAAAAAATCTACCATTCAAACATAAAATAGAAGCAAATAATATTTTTGTATCACAAAAATGAATGAAAAACATTTAAGAATGTTTTTACGCAATTAAATTTGAAATATTTAATTCAGTATTCAGTATTTTTTATATTGTAAAATCTTGAGTGTGAACAAAATTAATCCTGCTGCTCAGTCATTTTTCCAGGGTCTTCAAAAGTTTTTAAAAAGTATGGTAAAAAGTTAACTTAATAGTCATTTTTCTGTTAAAAGTTTGAGTTTATTATTTTTCTGTTAAAAGTTTAAATCTATCATTTGTCCTTGCATCAAATATGGGTGCCACATCTGGTCTAGTATTTCTGTTATATAGAGAAATTCTTGACGTAATCCAAAGAAGAATCTGCAACATTATCTGTCCTGGCCTGGTATCTTGGTTTCAGTCATTTCCTCACTACCTTAACACAGCTTTCTTTTTCTTTAAATATTTTTATGGTAATTGTTCTGATAAGCTTTCCTTTTTGCTACCTCAACTTCATGAATTTAAGCACAGCTATTCACTTTTGAAATTGCTGGGGATAACCATGAGCACTATGCTAATCATTTCTTCTCCAGCAATTCTTACTTGGGGAACTCTCTTCCAGTTTCTTGCTTTCCTGTTAACTATGAACTTCAAAAATTTAAATGCAATATCCAGCATCATCTGTCTCCTTGGATCCTGTTTTTTTTTTTTTTTATTGATCTCTGTTTCTTTCACTCTCCATAACCCCTTGCATCTTTGTAGCTTTTATCGTCTTGCTTGGAGGGAAAAATATTGACAGTTGACATGTTGTATGTTAATATTTACAACGTTTCCTGATGGTGTATACTATTTGTTGCCAGGGATTTAGCTTTTAATGGCTATATTTTGAGTTATTTTGAGAGAAAAAAAATTAACTCTGTTATATATGCTGCAGACAGAATACTTTTCATTGTGTCAAAAGGTAATTTTTTTAGTGCTTGTTCCATGAAGAGATATACTTAAATATTTGAAGAAATGTGATATGTATATATTTATATACATATATTATATATCCATAATATATAGGTCATGGAAAAAATTTAATTAGATTATTTTTAATTTAAGATTTATATATTTAAATTATTAAGAATATTTAAACTTAACATGTTAATATGGGCTT